AATTTTTTTTTTTTTTTTACTGGGTGGATCCAGTCAATAAAGGGGGAGGGAAGGCGGTGTGCTGTCTGGGAAGTGCGCTCTGCGCCTGTGATCTGCAGCCAGAACTGACTTCAGAGGAGGTGGTGTGATGTGATGGTCAGTGAGCCCTGGGTTCTGGTCCCAACTCTGGTTCTTAATTCTTCTTTATTCTTTTGGTGGGGGTGGGGTGGGGTGGAGGGTAAATGAGTGTCCTACTTCTCCCGCCTGGGGAGGGGTTTTTGGAAATCCGCCTTCTTAGCTGCCCAGGTGCATTGAGGACAAGTGCTTTCTGCCTTGAAACAGAAAACAAAAATGGTATCAGTTATAAAACGAACAGCTGTGTAAAGTGTTTTACAGTTTACAGAGCACTTTCACATGGTTTTATGAAAATAAGAAAAGAAAGTAACTCCTGGAAAACAGATAAGGGAGTTAGGCTTAAGGCTTATCTCATTTTTAAAGTTGAGAAAACTTCGGAGGGGAGAGGTGAAAAGGCTGGCTGGAGTAGACATGAGATTCTGACCCAGTGTGCTCTTTTTCTGCCTCCTGCTGCTGTTTACTTTGAAAGTTCTGAATACATTTTTTTGTTGAATGCTCAAGTACTAACTGGGGTGGGGGGCAGGGGTGGAGGGCAGTGTGGATCTTTGTTGGTAAGGTTGCTCATGTTCAGTCTGTGGGCTGGTGACAGCTTGGAGGAGAGGCCTTGCTTTTTCTCGCCTTGGTAAAAGTTTGCCCTCTGGGGGAACATAGCTTTGGCCTGCTTTTTTCTCTTCAGAGTTCTCTGCAGCCTGAGGTATATGAAGCTTTGGGTATTTCTGAGAGGTCAAGTTTACTTGCTCCCTGGTCTCTCACCACTCTCTTAGGACTGAGACATCTTCCACCTACCTGGCAAGGACCTACTGATAAAGCAGATCCTTCCCCCCTCCCCCCCCAGTTTTCTCAGTTAGGGAAATTCAGTTGCTTGGGTGGATCCAGACAAGATGGATTTCCATCTCTGGATTTTGTGCCCACGCCTCTGGGTCACCTTGTCTCCCTTGGCAACAGCTGCTGCTGTTTTGGTCATGGGCAGACAACTAAAGGCCATGTCTTGGGGAGGTGGTTAGCTGGCCTCACGCTAGTGATATCAATGTGTCTGCTAAGCCCTGTAGATTGTTGTGCTGCTTGTCAAACTGTCTGCTCTCTCCACACTGCCTTTCGTAAATTATTCTACTGTGTGTGAGAGGTAGGGCACTGGGCGCTTAAAAGAGCTCTCTGTGAGATCTGGATCTTGGGGTTTAAGAAGCTCTCAGTCCAAGGAGATTTTGACAAGTGTGTTTTGGCTAATATGTAACTATGAGTGGCAACAGTAACATTTGGCAATTATAGCTGTATATTAGGGCCTTCCAGACCATATGCTTACTTCTCTGTTACACCAGCTCTAACCTGTCTCGGTGATCAGAAGAGCTGGAGTGATACAGGCTTATTGATATAAAGAATGTAATAGAGAGCAGTGCCAAGGACGTGGTGAGAGCTTGATTGAGATACACCGCGCAGGGGCTATCAGGATGCACTGAGGTCTGGCAGAGTGGGCAGAACATAGACAAGCTGTATAACAGCATCTCACTCCTCACCTGCTTGAGCACCTGAGGAAAGCCGCAGGTATCTTCCTGGCCAGTTTATAAGAATGGAGTCATAGCATTGCTGCTGAGGGATGGAGAAGGTGTGAGCATGTTATGCCAGCAATTGGGAGCCAGGCACGCTTACAGCCACTGCCCATGGATTCCGACAACTTGTGCCTCCACGGATAGGATCCATGCCTTGGCACAGTTGTTGGGAGCTGGACCAAGCTTATGGCCTGGTTTGTTTGGAAGGGGATTTGGGCTTTCTTGTGTCAAAGCACCAAGTCCAGAGGTAAATGGGGCAATTTTCTGAGACACACCAACTCCTACCTCTTTGTGCCTCTCTTTTAGCACAGCCTCCTCCTGTTACCTACTTGGACTTTACAGGCTACTCGCGCCCTGGGGAAAAAAGGGGAAAAGATCCTCATGTTAACACTCCTCTCCCAGACTCCTCTCTTAGTCTTCTGGAGACAGACCTGTTGCCAGGGCTGCTTGTTAGCCTTGATTAGGAGAGTTGCACGCGAGGGCTGGGAGGAGGAGGGGCCCTAGGACAATGAGTAGCTGCCCATGGGGCTGGCTCGGAGCCATGGCTGAACCCAGGATGAACTTGCTGCTCCCTTGATTGACATTTGGAACCCTGGAACTTGCTGTTGCACCCAGGAGTTGAATGTTTGGGCCAATGCATGTTGCAGACAGCCCCTTGCTCACAGTTCCTAATTAAATGTTAGAGTTGTAGTTTGTTGATTCATTGTTATTTATTGGCCCTCTCTTGTCTGAGTCAGTATCCCAGACAGTGGGAGAGGGTGCAGAGATACATTTGAGATGGCCCCTGCCTGTGAAGAGCTTACATTTCAATAAAGGAAACACTAATAGGGCATTATTTGAGTGCCTAAATGCTATTTCTTTCTTAATCCCAGCCATCAAAAGAAATAGGAACTCTAGTATGGAGTGGAATTTTTTGGGCAGGCCGGGGAACCTATGATGAGTCTTTTAAATACTGTAGAAGTCACTATGTTAGAAAACCAAATAATGACAGCCATCTCGCCATCTCTTTTCTCTGGAAAAAACAAGCACAGAATTCCAGCCCCACATCTTGCCATTTTAATACCTGGGTGGATTCAAGAGTTCACCGAATGTCTCAGAGCCTTCATGTCTGCACCTGCAAAATCGGGATGAGATAAGGCCTGTGAACGTGTTTTGTAAACCAGAGAGTTTGACAGACATAAGTGTTTGCTTAGCCTCTTGTGTGTATCATTCATTCATCAATAAATTAGTTAATCACTTACTAAATGCCTACTATGATGAGTAAGGTAGGGTTCCTGTTCTCAAGAAACTCCTTGTCTAGAGTGGGAGATAGACTTGCCCAAAGGTACAGGGCAAGAGCTACAGCCGAGGGATATACAAAGTGCAGAGACATGGGAGGCAGACCACTCATTCTGTGGGGGGAGGTGAGGGAAGGAGGTGGGGGTCAGTGTGAGGTGGACTACCAAAAGGGGTACAGAAGCTGTTCCCCGAACGAAGTTTCTGGGCTGCAGTATGATCATAGCACTTTTGGTACGTAGTGATAGTTGCCTACAAGAACGAGGCAGTGAACGACAGCTTTATCTTCTGCCGTTTGCTAAAGTGAGTGCTGCTGTGAGCATGTTACCATATAGCTTGCACCAAAAGGCTAGTGACCCCTGAGCAGTATTTTACTCCACAGTCAAGTGTTCTCTCTTTGAAGTAAAAAGTAACTTAGTA